GGGCAAAATCATTGTATCGAATAGTTTGATAACGTCTGTGTTTAATAAGTAGGTAGATCAATAAGCCCATCATACTGCTTAAACAGAAATCACAGAACTTTAAATGCAATATAGCCAAAACAGTGATGAATAGTTCTGGCCTGCAGATCAATGTAACTGACTTTGATTCAGGTTCTTATCGAAAAGGTTTTGTCAGGCGTTGGTTTTATTAATATACGCCGTATATTAGCTAAAACTGACTAAAAATATTTTTTGAGATTCCTTAATGAACATATTAGATCTAACTGTCTCTGTCCAAAGTGACTTGCAGGTCTTTGTTAAAGTTTTTTGCTTTAGGCACAGTGAAATTTTTTTTGCGTGGAATTCTATGAAGGTGCTAGGGTTTCATTAGTTTTTTTTGCAAAAAGGTAAATTTGTAACCTGTTTGGTGGTGCTTAGTCATCATATTAGCATTGGCGCTTTTTAATAAGCGAATTTAGTAAATAACAATTGCTTAGAAATAGCCACGCTATTTTTTATCCACGTAAGGATTTTGGAAAATTCTTTTTTAAATATTAGCATTTTTGTTTTTTGTGTATTGTTTTGGTCTTTTTTGTTTTACAAAAAAAATAATTTTTTTAGTTTGTTTTGAGAATTTTATTATTTTTTAAACGAATCTGATTTGCACGGGCGGTAAAACAAACAAATTTGAAGATTAGTTTAGTGTGGGTCGTTTGGGTTTTAGTGTTCTGTCTGATTCGTCTGCTTGGTTTATGACTTACCTACGTCTCAATATGAAGCTCAAATTTGTTTTTGACGGGTTTGTGGTTTTAGTAATTAACCTTTAGCACGATTACTATCACCGAAATTGACTCGAGCGTCGATTTTCAACAGCTTCAGTTGGCAGTTATCTCATTGTACCACTTTTCTCCTGAAACGCTTTTTACGTTGAAATGGGTGGACGATGAAGGTGATCCGTGCTTGTTAACTGGGGACTCTGAGCTCAGGGAAGCTGTCAGACTGTATCAACTGAACAAGGAACCATTTCTTCTTGTTCATGGTTCGTGATTTTCATAAATTACTAGTATTTGTCTGTTTAGTATATGCAGTATTTGTTTTAATTCCAAATGTTTTTTTTTTAGCTAATTTTTAATCCATTGCAGTAATTGTGTTGTTATGTTTGATTCATCCCCGTGAATCCGTATCCTTAATACCGATTCAATATGCCATTTAAATATGCTGGATTGTTGTTAATATGAATATGATTATATTGTTTGTTTTCAAATAATGGAAGCATTACTACTACTAAGCCTTTGTTCTCTTTATAAGGAACTATTTTTTAAACTCGTTGATCTTATTCGTGATCTGAGTCTGTTGAAACTTACTGTAGTGAGAGTGTAAGTACGTAATCCTCTATAAATCTGGGTTTATTGCATTCCTTTTTAGTTTTTATTGGAGCCCCACCAGAACCGGGTATGCCCTGCCCCGGAGAAGATTGTGAGTGAATTGGTATTCTGGATTTTATTTTTTTATAGATTTTTTTTCAAGCGAATCATTACAGTATTATTTGTAGCATTTTACTGCTTGAACATCATTCTCCAATACTGATTTTTAATCTAGAATTGTTGTTGGCAACTTAATGAACCCACATATTTTGATTTTAGTCCAGGTTTATTATTTTTTACTGTGGGTCTTTGCGTAATGCTGTGGTTTATATTAAAAAGTTTGCATAGGCTATTTAAACGGCGAATTTTGTTTTTGTGTGTGTGTTCTCATTTACCCCTATCCTTTAGGCAAGATGTATCGTCGTGGGGCCAAACGCTGGAATAAAAAGTTCTATCATCTTAAGGGCCACAATTTTCTTGCCCGCCGTTTTAATAGAGTATGTTAAATGTTACTGTTATGTCTTGATTTTGCTTCCTCCCAAGGTGATAGTGTACCTATATCGAAAATGTGCTATTTCCTTATTTCGAGTTTGTTTGAATGCGGTTTTTAAACATTATCTAATCGGTGTGTCTATCCTTACAAGCGTACTTCACGAATTATAAGTTCTTTTAACACATTTCGTAGAATGCCATTTGTGCTTACTGTGAAGACCGAATATGGGGTTTGGGTCAGCAAGGCTACAAGTGCAATGCGTGTAAGCTACTTATTCATAAGAGATGTGCTCCTTCGGTTGATTTCCGCTGTGGAGAAGTAGCTCCTGCCCATGAAGTTGTCCGTCAACGTCCAGTTACTGTTAATGGTGTTGGGGCTGAAGGTAAGCCAATAAGCTTCCTTAGGTTTCTTACTCTCTAGAGCTTTTTGTTGCGAATAACAATTTAAACGTCTATTGTGGCAGCGTCAGGTTTATAACACGAGCACAGGTAACTCCCTGTAAAGTTTCCATAGTAATTGAAACTTGATAAGAGTGCAATCAAAGCAGTTATTAACCATTGTTGAAAATGTCCACACCTACGTAATTTTTACCTTCATTTTAAATTGACCAAATGCTCTCTTATTTGGTGTGGAACAATTTTTATATTTTTGGGGCGAAAAAATATTTCAAATGCAGCGGAGATTAGCATTTTTCCGAAAGTTTTCGGACGTCTGTGATGTAATCTTAAAATGGGGTTACACCTAAGGTTATATGGTGCTTTCTGTTCTAGCTCCTCGCATTTAACAATTTCTTTTTTTTAGAAATGCTTGTCGCAGATGGAATTCAAAACAATGCTTTTATAGCTTCGGTAAGTGGATATCTGTTATTTAGCAGTTTCACTACAGCCCAATTTATTTTAGCTTTATGTTTAAGGGTTTCTAGCGGCAGGTGATTTTAGCGTCTTGGGCGAATGGCTTTCTGGATTACAACCTATGCATTCTGTGGGAGATTTCGACTTTGGAGGTGTCTTTTAAATGCAAATGAAGTTCCTTTGTGGCTTTTATGGTGAACAGTTTTTTCATCTGTCCTAGAGAGACGACTTGTTTCAGGAATCCATTTCTTCTTTCATTTCTAAGTCACGTTTTTTTTAAATAATTTACGAGGAGCCTTGAACCACTCACATTGTATAATTTTGCTGTGACGGTTAGGGTTAGGACTTCAATACAAACCCGTTGTTTGCATTCATAGCTTCTCTTCGTTTTGTTAATTTTCATCAAAGGATCGTGAGGTATACGATAGTCCCGCTTCTAGTCGTAAAAACAAGCAGGGTGCCAAAGCAGCTCCCGACGCTCTTGTAATCCCCGAAGTGCCGGTAAAGTCAGAACAGGTGGGTCTGGATCACTTCAAGCTTCTTCGTGTGATCGGCCGAGGCAGCTACGCGAAGGTGTTTCAGGTGGAGTACAAACCTACTGGCAAGATTTATGCGATGAAAGTTATTAAAAAGGAGATCATCACTGACGAGGAGGTGAGTTCTGCATTTTATTTTACCATTTAGGTGATGCGCAGGGCGCAGTTGTAGGGTTATCGTCTGTGTTGTTACGTGTTGTTGATTCAACTAGCTAAACATCGATCGGGCTTTTGTGTGGGATAATTAATCACTGTTAAGTCTGAGAAATTCCTTTTTTAGAATCCATTTTTAGCCATTATGTAGTTTTGTGGGATTACGCAATTTGCTTCTACGTTTTTTGACTTGCACTTGTTTTGAGATTATTTGGATTTAAATATTGGAATAAAATATGCCATTTACTAGTCGATTTATACACCATTTCCGTAAATAACTAGGATTCCTCTTCTAGATCTTAAATTACACTGTAGTTCCTCTCGACGTCCCTTGTGGTAGTCTGGAAGTACCTGTTAACCGTTCCTGAGAACACGAATTCTCATTGATAGCATAATCTATCGAGGCTATTTTATACTCTCCCCTCCTTGCATTTGGATCAGCTTAGGATATTTTGGATTCCGCGACAATACATGCAGTCATACCTACTATCATTTTGTTGACCTTCGTAAATCTCAGTCGCCTATTAATGTTTCGAATTATTTCATTGTTTTGCAGGATATTGATTGGGTTCAAACCGAGAAGCACGTCTTTGAAAGCGCCAGCAATCATCCTTTTCTAGTCGGTCTGCACTCCTGCTTCCAAACGCCAAGCCGGCAAGTTTGAGCATTTTTTCTGGTCCTGACGGTTTTCAATACCACTTGCAGTACCCCAGACTCATGTATTATTCAAAATGGCTCCCCGTATCAAGTGGCGATGGTTTTAGAACGCTATATTTAGTTAGCCACCTTAGTGATTAATTCAGGACATAGCGAGCTATGTCCCAGGGATTTTCGCACAGTTTGTCATTGGAAAGTTTGTAGTATTGTAGAAGCCTGTCGCTTGATGATCGGGAGGAAAAGTTAAGCACCCATCCCTCTCGTCTAAGTGATGGTTTGTTTTCTCACAGTCACCGCCGTGAGATAAAACAGGAAGGTTTCGTGCTACTCAATTACTTGGCTGATTCAGTAGACTTCTGTGTGAGTCACGTAATTGTGACTCTAAAATGTGTCATCTTTAGAATACTACAGGTGCGAGCGTGCTGAATCATTGCCACACCAAACGGATGCATTTTAGAAAAAAAGCATTCAGTCATTTTCTTCTATATCAATAACGCTCAATTAGTGGTAGTGTTTCCAGCTGTTGTCTGGTTTAACGAGGCGTTCTGTGTGGCCCAGAGCACGTCAAAAAATCGACAACTCTTTATTGTCTTGATGTCATTTTTTATTGCTTAACATTAGGCGTTCTTCATCACCCACGCAGTTGAAAGTCATTAGTATACTACTAGTGGTACACTACTGTCGATAGACGCTTTGCAAAACCCGTATTTCTTTCGAGACCTCGTTAATAAACTTGCCTAGTCGAAACAGACGAGTCAATCTAGCTGTTCATGTTTATAGCCGAATTTGAGGATTTGACAAAACCGCAAATAATTTTCTTGTAACTGTTGGTCCTCCCAATGCACCCTGTTTGGCGTTTAGTGTGCGAAGTAAAAGCTAGAGGTGGCACCAATCCGTTTTTTTTATTATTTTCAATAAGCCTAATTTCTCCACTTTTATCTCCACAAAGGCTTTTCTTCGTGATTGAGTTCATAAACGGAGGCGACCTCATGTACCACATGCAGCGTCACCTCCGACTCCCAGAGGAGTACGCGAAGTTCTACGCCGCCGAGATCTGCATTGCGCTGAACTTCCTTCACGAACGTCAAATCGTCTACCGTGACCTCAAGTTAGATAATGTTTTAATGGACCTCGAGGGCCACATCAAACTGACGGACTACGGCATGTGCAAGGTTGGTCTTTGGCCAAGGTTTTTGTAAGGCCACGCATCCGATGGAAATGGCCAAATCATATCCGTCTAGTGCTCACCTCATATTTTCATTGAATGAGAGTCCTGACCATTAGTTACCTCAACTAAACAAAATATTGTTTGGCCCGAAATCGAGCCTTTTTTCCTTTTGTTTGCCTTACTTATGGGTACCGTTTGTCAAGCCCTCTTTAGGGTGTGGGGATTGGTGAGAGAAGATTCCTGTTCTTCTATTCCATCTCTTTACTATAACCCTAACCCTTTCTTGACAAAAATATTCCTTTAATCCACTTACACCCTTGTGTGATGGGTTACGATTAATTTCCGGTTAATGAATAATTTTTAAGACCATCTAATTGCTGGCAGCGGCAACACGTGACAGCCAACAGAACTCAAATGTCACTTTTTCCGTACTTTTTGGGATCTCTGTCCTGATGCTTAAAATTTATAGCTCTCTATTAAGTTATCTTCGCAAGGAATATTAGTGCTTTGTTGAAATCTGAGACCTACGTTGATCTTCAGGACATGTTCACTTTGGACTAGGGTTCACAGATGTAAATCCTGTTAGCCTTCAAGTTGATTCCAGCATAACTGTCTCAATTCGTCCATGCATTCAAATCCAACATGCACAAACTTTCGGTCCACTAAGATACCTGGAAACTTTACTATGGTGTGTCCCGTGACTTACTCAATATTTTGTACGAAGAGTCGAACCCTGCAGACCAAATGAGTTATGTCATCAAACCTCACGAAGCTTTTCTTCAGACTGAATTAAACCGTTGGAGTGCTTTTTCCTATAGTTACTTTCCACAGTGGATCTCTTTAAATCAAGTTAATGTCTCTTGAGACCACAAAGTCCCTTCTATAATGTTCTTCTAAACGCAAAGATCTCGCAGGTGTATCAAGATCAGTTTAAATTCCAGATGAAGCAAATGTTGTCGTATTGTTAGAATCTTCCTCCAAGTGCCCATCCTCGCGAACAGTCCTGTCTGTGTTTAGTTCCTGGTTGTATTTATTGATGTGAGTTTCGATCGTGAGTGACACAGGCCACACCAGTATTTCAGTTTGTCATTTATGGCCTCCGAACAACCTATTCCTGTGTCGCCTTTCAATGTCCGTCTTCATGCTTCAATCTCAAAATCTGATGGAACTTGAGAGGATCGTTGACGCAGACACAATGTCAGTGGTTGTCACTGGTGGATGGCGCAGTCTCAGTTCGTAGCACTCTTAATAAAGTTTTATAATTTGTATTTAGCCAAACCAATATGGTCTTCAAAAGTGCACTTAATTCATCTTACGCCGTGTTTATTTTATTGGTCTTGCAAGTTAACGTTGGAAGTAACATTTCTGCATTAAAATACCATATCATGAATCCTTTTGATCGCTTGTTTCCTTAAGACTTACCAGTGGTCCTTTGCTGTAGATGTTGCTACATCTGTGTGCGCCTCTGCGTTGCACTTTAAATGAAATATGGTAAAGTGTCCATAAATCCAATTGTTATGTAGAGGATCCAAGTATTGCGCTTGCTTCTGATCTCATGGTAACTGTTATATCCGTCGACTTTTGACGATTCACCAGGATGGTTTTCAGGATGGTATAGAAAACCAGGTCGACTTTTTTGCAGCAACTTATGCACTGCAACCCAGTTTCGGCTTTGCACAGACAAATTCTCCATCCACCTTTTTTAAAGACCATTTCAATTTCTACTGTCACAAGTCACATTAAGACCACGAACTCCTTTTTCCTTGTTTTTCCTTGCCTAACTGGCTCCACATCGGAGATTTCAGTTCCATTTTGGAAGGACATGCATGCCTTTAATGTGCATCACCTGTGCTATCTTCAAATGCGTCGTTCATGTATTTCGGTAACACGGTACACCCTGTTGCCCAGCTCAGCATTATTTTGTGTGACTTATGCAGATGCTTGTTAGTGGAATGTAGGAGTTACTGTTACTGTGCTTTATGTGAGCTTTTATTGGGCGTAGTTTAACATGATTGGTAAGCATAGAATCAGTTTACCTACAGGTTAATTTTCATCTGAATGCTTACATAGTTGTATAGTGAGCCTTTTGATGTGACCAATACCGTGTAACTTTTCAGGAGGGCATCTCTGAAAACAACCTCACTTCCACGTTTTGTGGCACTCCCAACTACATTGCTCCTGAAATTCTCCGCAGCGAAAGTTATAGTAAGTCAAATTTGACCTTCGAAGCTACAAAAACTAGCCTGGACTCAACGACATTAAAACGGTGAAATGTGTGCAATAATGGTGTCGCCTTCATCTTCGTTCAGGAAGATCATTAGGTGATTACTTCCTCGTCAAAAAGTATTTGGTATGGCTACTACCAACTGTCATTAGTAGTCTGACGTCAGGCCTCGCAATCAGTACTATGCAAGGACTATTAATTTTTTTTGTCCTAGCTAACTGATTTTTGACCACGAAAATGTCTTATTGTCTTACCTTACCTTATTGGTTATCAATTCTAGCCAATGTCTGTACCCAGAATGTCCACATGGCCGATAAAATTGCGTTACGCAACAAAAAGTAGTTGTGCTGCTAAATGGAATATTTCCGAAAGGGTAAAATCGTCTTACTAGATCCCTCAAAATGTTTCCGAATCAAGTTTCTTTTAATTAATAGTACACGTGTGCCTTACCCCCTTCCATAGCATCATGATGACCTCAAATGAAATTTGTTCCTTTATGTGTCTGAAATTAACATTGCCAAGCATCACTTGTAAACCACTTTCTCGAGGTTTTTATTAACATGGAAACCTTGTGGACATATTTCTTTGAGTACCCTTGGAAGATTAAGTGCTCAGTTAAAAATAATTTGTTCACTTGAATTTTCTAAATTGTGTGTATGTATGATAGGCTTCAGTGTAGACTGGTGGGCCTTAGGAGTCCTGATGTTTGAAATGGTCTCCGGGAGGTCTCCGTGGGAGGGCGTTGGTGTCTCCAACAATCCCGACCATAACACCGAAGACTATCTCTTCCAAGGTAACTCTGAATTCCTTCTATTGTTCACTGATCGCTTGAGGCCAGATACAGTAAAGCAGGACTTGTGGTCTTACTACCTGTATGTGAACCTCTTGGCACTGTTTGAGTTTGTTGAAGGCCCCGGTATGTGGTCTTGAATCACACCAAGGCCACCACATCGTAATGGCCCGAGTACACGTCACACATACTCGAGGAGACTAACACCGTTCACCAGACGGTTAAACGTAGTTGTGAGTCGCGCCCTGTGCATAGCAGGTCGTGTCTGACATATGGGATTCGCTGATCAAAACAATTCGGATGAAATTGTACAAGTACAAAGGGCTAAATGACCAAGTGAATCGAATAAGGAGCGGGTCTGGGGAGCTGGTGGGGGTTTAGGAGGCCGTGCACAGAGGTGTGTGAACAGACGGTTGGGACGTCGTGACAAGCGGCTGGTCTGCATGTGCGACTGCCAGGTTATTCTAGGTAAATTAGCACAGTTCACTTCTAGCTATTACCATTCTTATGGCAATCGTTTGGCCATAAAAAAAAGCATACTGTGTGGTAGCTGCTTTTTTTGAAAGTAACATGCCTTATGTTTATTCTTTTTTGAAGTTATTCTCACAAAACCCATCCGGTATCCTCGCTCGATCTCAGTTCAAGCAAGTAATATCCTTCAACGGTTCCTCAATAAGGCAAGCTTGGTTAATTATGTTTTGATGTTTGGGACCTTCGCGATCTTTCAACAATTTTATCCTGTCACTCTTGCCTACCCTCACACAGTTACGTTGCGCTCATTTTTGTGATGCTTACAGAAAACAAACCCCAGACTACTACCTTTTTGCCCATTAATGGGGAATATTTTGATTTGAGCTCCAATTTGGAGGCCATTGTGCCTGTTTCAGCTTATCAGTTTCTTATTTCCAAGTACAAAGGGAGTGTGTATTTGTAAATTATGATCGTGTTTGAAGTGTTTTGGGTTGTTTTTAAGCAATATATCACTATTGATCATCCGCAGTTCTGAGGTATGCCGTAGTCTATTTTAATCAAAGGATAATGTCAATTATTGGAATTTGTCAGTAAACTTTTAGGTATTTTTAAGGTGTGTCTTGACCGTTGATTTAACGTTCTTTTGTTTGTGAATAAAAGTTTGATAAATAGCTTGCAGCAACCATTTTAAGGGACCTTACTATGGGGATTAAACCTACAGAATATGAACGGTTTGCCACTTGTTTCATGGGTTGACGTTTTGTATAATGCAATACTTGATTGATTTTAGGACCCTGTTGAGCGCCTTGGCTGTCCCCCGAATTCCAACTTTGCAGACATCCAGAACCAGCCATTCTTTAGGTCCATCGATTGGGTGGCTCTCGAACAAAAGCGCGTTCAGCCACCTTATCGGCCTGAAAAGGCTGATGACTACAGCCTAATCCACTTTGATCCCACTTTTACAAACGAAGAGGTCTGCTTCACACCCGATGATCCGTAAGCCTCCTCCGACTAAATCGTTCGATTGAGTGATTCAGTAAAATGATTTTGTCAATTTAATTCAATCTCCAGATTCAACAAAGTAGGCAAATGCCGATCACGACCATACGTAGCTGTGCTTATGGAATAAAGTTTCCTTAAATGTCCGAAATTTGAATAAGTGGCGCTGTTTAGGTACTCAAAGATTGCATTAGTTGGTGTGGATCTCAATTTCATTGTTTGTTTTAATTCGAATTTCTATCCGGTCGAAATTAACTGCCTTAATTTCCTTTTTAGCGAAGTTATACGGGCAATCGACCAATCGGAGTTCGATGGTTTCGAGTACCTCAATCCCTTGCTAATAAAAACGGCGGAGACCGTTTAAGGGCTAAATCACCATTTTCATCCCTTTCTTTTTATTGTCGTCTTTAATTTTTGCCGCATTGCCCTTTGCATCCGTCCTTTCACCTAATTCTACTATCAAACATATCGGCCCTTATTGCTCATCATGTACTTTTTGTGACTGGTTTACGGGTACATTTTTACTTTGTTTATGCACACCCGCACTTGTTAGATTGCACAATTATAATTGATACCAACACCTAAGCAAATTCCGGCTGTGTTCTTTTCCACGAGTTCTTGAAATAATAAATTTATTATATAACTGTTTTGATGTTGCGTATTCTCTTTACAATTATTGTTGCAACATAAAGCGGCAAATACATCGTCAATTGCGTCACGATGTTTGTACTTGGCCACTTTCTAATAATTCAAGGCTAGGTAAATATAGCTTGAAGTGGTTGATATTTACATTGGCTAGAAATGCATCTTCAACGTGTGGGGGGTTCGACTGATTCCTTGTAGCAAGAGTCGTTGAGTATCGTTATCATTTACTCCAACGTATGGATTTTATTGATGCCTGAGATACTTCGCCTCATCATTACAGGTGATACCCCCGAGGTCTCAAGCTTCAATCCCACAAATTGGAGTGACAAAATTACTAAAGGTTCATCGGCTAGTTACAGAAGTGGAGAAGCATTCCTTCTTGAGTAGAGACCATGATATAATTGCGCCTTAATTTGTTTTTAAAAATATGAGTCTATGTGTGAAACTTGCTTGTGACGAGCCCTTTGTAGTTAATAGTTTCATCAAGTCGTTAATAATTTTGTCGACGCTTGCCACTGGTATACAGAGAGCTAACAGATCTCCCTTACAGAATGATTGACTAGTAGATTTTTTAACCATCATGCTCAATGAATCGCAGTTGTTAGCGTAGCAATAGTAGAATCTGGATCCTATTCTCTGTTGCTATGAAATGCATGGGTTTTTTCTGTAGTGTATCGTAACTGTTGACATTAAGTTGAGACAGGAGTACCCGTAAACGATCACTGCAGATTGCCTGAAACTGTCAATTATCCTTAATTTAAGTACCGTAAACTGCAATGTGACAGTCATCTAAGGTTTCAGTGTTGCATCATTGAAATCACCTAATCAAATAACACAAACTTAGTATTTACTATAAAGCTGTCATCTTGCTTCTTTTTTAAACTACGGTCATCAATTTTTTCTCTGTTAAGTATTTAAATAATCAGGATGTCCGTAACCGTAAGTAACAAATTTCGTGGTTGCATTTTCTTGCGGCTTTGTAAAGTATTTGAGTTCTATTGTGAAGAACGAAAGTTCAAAAAGGAATCTTTTTTACCAGCTGCAAGTTCTATTTTTCAGATATTTTAGCATTTCTGAGCAATAAATCGAAGAAATCGGAGTTTGTGGATATATTACCTTACGGAACCATCTGTCACACGTTATCTTTTACTGTGAAACATGCAGACGACACGGCCTATTCCGTAGTAGTATTCAAATAATTTGGTGTTTAGTTGGCTGCCTATTTTTTTCTGGAGGAACTTCTAACACCGAGGTAGACGAATGGTGAAGCAAATGGCTTTATTAAATATGTCTGCGCCCCATTTGTGCACCGCGGCAACATGTAAAATACCCGAGCCAATCACGAGCCAGAGCCGCAAGTCGGGAGCCTTCCACCCGAGTCCATCACGCTGGCCACGCCGCTCAATATACACTGCACCTCAGTCGTGTCCTTCTCTGGTTGGCTGCTTATCTTCGTCGCATGCCATTGGAACGCAGAGAGACACAGAATTGGCTGAGACCAGGTGGCCAAATATGTCTGCGCTCTAATCCGTCGCCACCGTAGAATACCCGAGCCCTAATAGGAAAAAGACCGGTACAACAGAACAGGCTTTATTGACCAATCACAAGCCAGAGCCACACGTCAGGCGCCTTCCATCCGAGTCCGCCACGCTGGCCACGCTGCTCGTCATATACTGCTCCTCGACCATGTCCTTTTCTGGTCAGCTGCTTTTCTTCCTCGCATGCCATTGGAACGCAGAGGGACACAGGATTGGCTGAGG